AAACTCCGACATACTTAGAAAAGATTGGAATTTTGAACTTGTGTGGGATAACAACCCCATGCACCAATCCAAAATCACCGAAATCCAAGCCAGGTACGGCTTGAATTTCCACCACTTTCAACCTATCCTCTAGTTGCTTGTACTTATCCTCAGCCGGTGGATACTATTCATCAAAGTATTCTTCATCCTCAGACGCATGATCATTTGCACCCCCAGCACGGGTTCTCCTTGCGTCTTAGTCTTGGTTCTCGTCTTCCTTGGATGACTCTTCAACTACTTGCACTTGACAGACAAGAGCTTTACACATTTTCCCTAAGTTGACCAGTGGCTTCTTCTTGGTCTTCTTTTTGGCTACCAGAAGTGACATCAGCTCTTGTTGTCCTTTGGCCATGGTCAACAAGGTTTCTTGGAATTGAGAATTCTGCTTCGACAAGCCTTTCATGGTTTGCTCGATATCCATCATACTGAAATAAACAGTAGAAAAATGAGGAAACCTGTGCTTGAAAACCTGTTTATGTTATGATGCATGAAATGCGTATGCAAATGATTTCAAGGACTTTTAAGATTTAAACTTGTTTATACAAAGAGAGAACAAACATTAATTGAAATAATAAGTTCAAACGGTTACAAGATGCCTCCTGGGCTTACAATGGAAGAAACAAAGATAATACAAAATAAACTCCTAAAACAAAAGGACTCAAGCTTCCCATGAGTGTATCCTCTTCGATTTAATGTAGGCATTCAAACTCCGTCTTCATGAAGTTGTCTCATGAGCTCCAGAACCTTCTTCTCGCTTGCGTAGAACTGGGTTTCAAAGGTGTCTCGCTCCCCTTTGAGTTGAATCCATGATCTTTGTAAATCCTCGAGAGTAGTCGGCATGTCAGGATGAAGGATAATGTAAGGAATATCTCCCTCAGTAATAGGCTCCATGATGATAGGTAGAATGGCCTCATAAGGAATCATGAGAGTTTGAGCGCGAGCTCGCACCCACTTGAGATAAGGCTCCATAGGAATGGAGTTCTTATGCCCTAAAGTTTTTCTATCTACCTTGTTCATCATGCCCCAATATCGTATAAATCTTTGACGGTAACCTTGGACATCGTTCTCATAGTCAAATGCAATTTCTTAGACAAGTGCATCATGAGGACCATCCCTCCTAGCATACCCAAACTGTCGTAAAGTCAAACAAGGGTTATAGGTGATATCTCCCCTAATGCCAAGGAGAGGGACATTAGGGAATTCCCCATAGCAATCAATGATGATAACATCCTCCAAAGATCGAGAATACCAATGAATATCTGAATGCGTGAGTGACATCAACCTATTATACCATCTCGTGCCTTGCTCATTCTTCAAAACAGACCGAGGTAGGTGTGAAATAAACCACCTAGCCAATAAAGGAGTGCAACACATAAGAATTCCTCTTCTCTTCATGGTGCGAGAGTGAAGAGAGTGCAAGATATCTCCAAGCAAGGTAGGTACTGGGTTACGAGATGGAAAAACTTTGACTGCATTCATATCTATGAGTTGGTCCGGGTTAGGAAACAGTACCATCCTATAGACTAGAAGAGCCACCACTTCTTCAAAAGCTTGCAAATCTAGAGCTTCCAAAAATTGTTGATCCTTCTCAAACAGAAACTTGGCTAGAAACCCTTTAACACCACTTCTTGTTTCCCAATTTGCCACGATGTCGGACCGTTGCAAATGTAAGGCTCGAGAAATCTCCTCAGGTCTTGGTTCTCTCTCAATACCAGTGAAGGGTAATTGATCAAGAATAGGCACTCCCAAGAGTTGAGAAAATTCTTCCATAGTAGGCACTAGTTGGTAATCAGGAAATGTAAAGCAATGGTTCTTAGGATCAAAGAATTGGAACAACACATGTACCATATCCTCTTCAAAGTTTGTTGTAACCAAGTTGATGAGACTACCGTACTTCTTGGTGAACGGAGAATAATTGGGAACACTTGATGCTAATTCCTTAAGTTGAGGAGGCACTCTCACAAGCTTGATTCAGATGGTATTCCTTCGCATGAAAGCCACGTCCTACAAAACAGCACAAATATAAATCCCAAAGTCCTTGAAATGGTTAGTGCAAATGCAATGGTATGATGTTATGTACAAGTAAACATACACAAACAAAGAAAACAAGTCCTTAGGTTTAGGATTGCATGAGGTTTCATTGGTAAGTACCCTCTTGAAGTTTAGTTGGTTCAACATGTCCTAGAAAGTAATCGGGTTCTAGGGGATCTCAATATCACTGATCTTTCTTCATTGGGCATTGTTTAAGCGCAAACCTCTTTATTAGCGACCGAAATATCCCAAAAGTCAGATCCCAATGAGTTTAGTATCGAGTATTAACCAACTTCGGACTGCACCAAAGCCAACTATCTCACTACTTCCTAATGGTCAAGTTGTTCAATTAAAGGTTCTAAGGTTCGTTAGTGCTTCATGACACCATATAACAGCCCCATATTCTCCTTAATTCTCCATAAGGGATAACGGTATCCACAAATGTGTCACGCTAACATAGCTATTGTCTTAACCATATTAGTTTACACCGTACATTCTCCATAATTGTTGCTATTTACCTAATGATGTTCCTCGATCTGGGTAGAGGATCAAAACAAGCCCAAACAAAGACCCATAAATATAAAGAAAACAAATCAAACAATGAAAGTAATTAAATGTGATCTATCTCTAAGGTAACCCCACTTTTAAGGAATCCCTAGCAGAGTCGCCAGTTCTGTAATACAGTGGGAGAACTGACTTGGGTGTTTTGTGTTTTATAGCAATTGTTGCGGATAGCAAGAGTCGCCATCGAATTTTCTTTTAACCAATAAAGGAAAGGGTGAAAAGAACAGGAAAGACCTTTTGTGATATTTTCTTGAGTTCAAGGGGTAGGTTATGAAAAGGGAAGGTGTTAACACCCTTTTCATCCGTAGTTATCTACGGGCTCTTAGCTGCTTGATCACTTTAAAATGCCTTGTTTGAAATATGTTTGTGTTTGGTGAAAGTTTGAAAATATTTTGAAAACGCCTTTGTTTAGGTAAACTTTTTAATGATTCTCGTCTCTATAAGAATGTATACAAAGTGTTGGTTTTGAAAATAGTTCAAAGAGATATTTATTTTTGAACATTTTTTTGAAAGTGTAAGTGTGGAAATGGTTTTAGTTTGTGAGCAAGCAACTACGAGTGTCCTACCTACTCAAAAGATATTTGTTCTTTTCCTCCTCCTTTAGATGTTTCTACCTTACCATTGATTTGGTAAGAAGCCCTATCATTGGATGTGAAGGGACAGGCGCGGGTCAATCGTACAGTTATAAAAGGCAACTTGTGAGACGCTTTAGCAATTTTCATAAGGGACTAGGTCGTTTTACCAAAGGCAACATCGAGGGACATCGAGGGACTATGATCTTTTTTTATTGAAGGGTCTTTGCTAAAGCGTCCCACATTCGAGGGACATAACTGTTTTTTCAAAGGCAACAAGCAAGGTTAACCCTAGAGGGGCGCGTGTGAAAAGTGATTTGTTTTCAGTTATTTTATCTTGAAGTTTATGATTATCTATCATTTGATTTTATATCTTATCATACATGCCTAATTACAATACAATATAAAGGAAAACAGTAAATTATGGAAATTAAAATTCTACACTATTACAGAGCTTTTGGGAATGGGGAGTACAAATTTACAAATGGGGATGGATCAAATCGAGAATGCGATTAAAAATCTAAATAAGCAATCAATACAACCAAATCGAATCAAATAATTAATTAAAACTACAACAATATATGAAATAAAATTTAATTAACAAAGTAAAAATATGGAAATAAAATTCTTGATATTTTGTTTGTGAGAGAAAATTAAAGACCTATTATAGAGGGGAAAATAATTGGTTACAAAGAAATTAAATCGAATGTATATATATCTTTTGGTATTTTTATTACAAAAAAATAATTTAAGACTAAAAAAAAAGTTAATTAGTAAAATTATTTACAAAATCCTAAAAAATTAATTAATTGAAATTATATACTTTATATTTAATTGAATTTTTAAAATTAAAACCTAAATTAATTTTGTTATCAACTATCTAAAAGAATAGAGAAAAACAAAAAAAAGGGGCCCTTGAACTCAGATTCTCTTGGTTGTTAGTAGTATGTTTTGCTAATTAAACTGTACTATTTTATCTGTTACTATTACACTTTAATTAAGACAAAAGGGTGAAAGCGATTGAGGAAATTGGGCCAACAAGCCCAATGGGCTGACCCGGCTGGGAAAAGGAAAAGAAGGATTTTGTAACCCTAAAACGATGGAATGCGCCGCTGGGTTATGCTGGAGTGAACATTTGGGAAAAATAATTAACATTAATTATTATTATTGTTACTTCCAAAAAGAACAGTTAATAAGAAAAATTAAAAACTAATTGATCCCTCTCTCTTCTCTTATCCGTAGCACCATCATCACCTTCATATCTCCTTCAAGATTCTCTTTCAGTTTCACACTTCTCCTCTCATTCTTCTCAATGCTCGTGCCAACACTGATGCACTTCACATTATGCTTGAACCAAAGTTCTTTACCTTTCGATGTTTCGATTCTAAAACAACACCATCGTCATCATATTCCTCCTCCTCACTCTTCTCTGAATCTGATGATTCTGTTCTCTCTGAAACTGCTGGAATAATGGAGCTTAAATGTTGAATTTAAAGGTTTTCAAATGAGGGCAACATCGGCCAGTGGCTTCCAAAGATTCATGAGATAAAAAACCACTAATTGATATATCAGAGCCTCTAATTTGAAGTTGGTTTCAAGGTCTCCCAAATTGGGTAGGTTAATGGTGCGATAGAGGAAGGGGTCTTTCGAGATATTGCATCGAGTGGAGCAAACATTGTGAGCCCGAACAAGAAGATCGGTTGTGTCAAGTTTCATAAAAAATGGACAAAACTGCATCTCGTAGAAAATCAAGCCAATTTCGTTCGCTGGAATCTATTGTTGCATTTGAATTCGATGAAAAAAGAAAATGAAAAAGAGGGTACTTGTAACGACTCTATTGAAGAATTAGGAGAATCAGGATTTCAGGTTGTGATGGTGATCTTTGAAAGAGGTAAATCTGAAGTATTTTTTTTAGAGTTTTTCTGTGTAATTATGTATGAAATTCGTATGTTTGGAAATGATTTGAAGGTATGTTCTCATCTATGAATTTTTTTGTGTTATTTTTTCTCTTGATATTTCTCCAATTTCTCTGTAACCGCTCAACAATAACAGAATACCGTATTCGATTTCTCTCGTAGATATACTCCCTCTGTCTACTCTCGATATACTCTCTGTGGATCTCACTATATTTCCATGGGTTACAACAACATAAGCAACAACAACATAAGCAACAACAACAAAAAAGAATGAAATAACATGAGCAAGTTCATCATAGTTTGAGGATATATACTTATTACAACATAAACAACATGCCAATATTTGAAATCCTTCTCTCTCTCTTGGCTTTCTGCCCGTTCTAAATTTCTTCTAATTTGGAGCTGCCGAGGTATTTCTGAGTTGTCGTTGTTGGCTGAAAGTTGAATGTGATAACATGAAGAATCAAGTCGGAAGTTTGAGGTTATTTATGGTGGGCAGGGCTATGGTTAAACAGAGGAAGATAAACAATGAGTTTTTTTACATAAGTTTTTTTTCTATTTTTCTTCTCTGTATGATGTTTCTGTATGGAGGATTTATAATTTTTTGCTGAAGTTGTGGATGGTTTTTGGGATGAAGGATATATGAAGGCAATGGTTTTTTTTCCAATTTAGTTTTTCTGTGTATTACTCTGGTATCTTGACCCCCCAATAGCTTGAGCAGAGGTTCGGATTTATAGTGGGGCATATGAGTTTTTAGAGGGGAAAAGGATAAATTTTTTGAACTGCTTTGGTGTGCTGAAAACAAACTTTTCATTGTAGTTTTTTTATTTGCTAACTTTGTGCAATTGCTAGACTGTTTTGGTACATATTTTTTGGACTGTATTGACAGGGTTTTGGACTGACTTTCTTGGCATTCCTATGCAGGTTTTGGGCAGCATGTGCAGCAGATTTGGGGACAGCAACAGGGCTATTGTTTTTCAGCAAGGTTGGACTATTTTTTGACAGTTTTTCTGTCTGATTGCAGGCAGTTTTATGGGCTATTCATGGGCTGTTTAATAGCAGGTTTTGGAGATATTGTGCAGCTTGTTTTGGACAACAGGTTTTTAGTGTAGGGCTTTTTTTTTTGAACAAGTTTATGCAGCTTGTAGGTAGCTTTGGATTGACAACAAGTCATAGCAATTGTAACATGGCATCTTTATAAAGTCTCAAGTGTACACTTAATTTTCATTTATTGTAACAGAACAGGAAATTCAATAAGATTGGAAGTGGAAGTGTAATTCAATTAAATATGTTCTCTTCTAATTTGTGATAAGCTTGCAGTAACTTTTCTTTGTAATCTTGTAACACTTTGTAATTGTAACATTGCCATGATTTGAATAATGGTGTAAGGAATAAGCTTGATTCTTGTACTTCAAATATTGCCACAACTTGAATTGATTCTTGAATTTGAAATGATGGCTAGTTGAATAAAATATGGTTCAAAATTATCCACATGAATGGAGTTTAAACTTGAAAACAGACATTCTTTGTGTAAATATTCAAATTGTTTCCAATGAAAACTCAAAGCAACTTAAGATCTTTGGTCAAAATCTGCTTTAATCCAATACTTACCAATGTTTGAACACAAGTGACTTGAAATGCAACAATTAAACCAAAGAATCCTCGAACACGATATCTTGCTCAAAGAATGATATTATAATGTGAATCAAGGGCTTTTAAAAAACATTTATGGAACGAATTGAAACCTAGAAGTTAAGAACATTTTAAATCACAAAATGACCCATGACGTTTTCACCAACTTTTATAGCCTTTTAAGCATAATTTGACTTTGATCCTTGAAAAGAACTTGTAGATGACATCATTTATTACAATGTGTAAAAAGAATTGCCTCAAAATATTAAAAATCGAGGACGTGATGATCAGTGGAAGTTGGGCACAACTACTTTGAGATTAGGTCAAAAATCCAGAAAGTGACCTCTAAATTATTCAAATTTTTGATGATCTTTCACACATAATCAACTCTTGACTTGTAAAGATAATTTGGAGATGACGTCAAGGAGGGTCATATGCAAAAATAATCTCTCAAAAATATCGAATAATGGAGAGGTTACAATCTTTTGAACTTGATCTTGAAAAGGTCGACTTTTGGGTCAACGCAGTTAATTTTCAGTCATTTGAACCAATGACAGAGAAAACTTACGATACAAGGCTTGAAACTTGGTACAAACATCCTTGAGAATACATGAAGAACTATGACGACCATTTGAAACCTTGGAAAATCAATTTTGCTTGAGAAATAAAAAACCCTAATTGTTGACTCAATTCCTAGGAAGAGAATCTATCTGATTAAACCCTGAGCCATTTTGAGTATTTGAGAAACCCTAGGATAACATCTTGAATGAAAATGGGAGCGAAAATTTTGGGGTACAACACATAGCAATTATGATGCTCCTTCAGATAGACAGAGATGATGTGAAACCCCAGAGGATAATGTCCAGAAGCACAGGTATGTTTGTTACACTCGATTCTCTGTTTTTCGATCCTTTCACCTTTTCTTCTTCATTTCTTGTTTTTTTATTTACTTCAGTGTTTTTCTTCCACACTCTTCTTTGATTTCTCAGTGAATTTATCGGTGTATCACTATTCATGTGTTCTTGTGGTTGAGTGTTTGTTAATTTTTTGTGAAATTATTGAGATTGAGAGTAGAAGATTGTAGCCGTGGGATTTAAGAAGATGAAAAGAGATTGAAAGGGTTAAAGTTGCAGTGATGGTGGTGGTGGCGGTTCTAGAAGGAAGAAGATGAAGATAAAGGGAGGTTCTGAGATTGTGAAGACCGAATGGTGAAGGTGGGGATTGAGATTGACAAATGTTAAAGAAGGTGAGATAGAGATGGACGAGGAGAATGAATATTGATGAGTGAAAAAATGATGGAGAGAGTTGAATTGAAGGTGCAACTAGCTTATATAGGCGTGGAGGTTGAGTAATTCAGTTATGGTTGGGGTAATCTCATCCCTAAGATGGATTAGAGGTTGTTAGGGATTGAATGTTGAGATTGAGGTTAGTTGCAAACTGTTAGAGAGTTTGTTATTGGGGGTTAAGAGTTTTGTTATTTCAGTTACAGTTAGGAGGTTAGTTTTAGCTGTTAGTTTCGGTTGGTTAATGTGGTTAGAGGGAATTAATTATTCAGTTAGGAGATGAAGAAGTTAGTTGGGGGGGGGGGGAGTTTAGAGTTTGTTATGAAATTGGTTAGGCGATTAGGGTAGTTGGAACTCTGTTCGAAGTTCTGTTACGAGATGTCTCTAATTCTGTTAGAAGTCAATTGTAAAAACGTTAGTTAGAGGCTCGATAATTATTAGTTAAAGGTGAGTTAGTTAGTTATTACAGGTTGGAGGGAGTTATTTAATTGTCATGAAGTTGAGTTGTTATAGTGTACTACAATGGGTCTTGCGTTTGATGTAGGACTCAGCTGGGTTTATTTTGGTTTCAATGGTTTAGCTAATTTGGGCGCGGATGAACCGAACTTATTTTAGCAAACCAAACCGCATAAACTATTTTAGTTTCTTCAACGAATCTGGCCTTTTTGAATTAATTAGATGCTTGTTAATTGGTTTTCCGAATTGTTTTACAGGTTGGTCCTGATGTTAAATGAACGTTGTAATTTTTCTGGTTTATTAATTTCCTAAATGGTTTTTATAAACCAGCTTTTGTTCTATGCATGTGGATTTCGTCAGACTTTGTATTAGCTCTCTTGTATGCAGAGCATGGTTAGTAGATAATGCTAGGGTTAATTGAAAGTTGTTAGTATGTTTGTATTTGTCATGGTTGATGTATAGTTCGATTTTTTCACTGGAATTTGTTATGAACCAATGTGCAGGGATGTTGGAAATGGCTTGGTTTTTGTGGACTGTTTGTGATAATTCATGCCAGGAAATTTGCAAAGAATCATGGCTATTTTAATTGTCTTGTGCATGGTTGTTTTTTTATCTTGTAATGGTTTGACTGTATAGCTTGCTATGGTTTACGTAATGATGCAACTGGTTTAATTTATGTTCGTTATATGGTGCATATTTGGTTTTAGAAACTTGAAGAGGAGACTTTCAAGATACAAAGCTTTGTGGCTACGACAAGGGTTTGACATGAAGATGAATGTAACTATGGTAGAGTTAGGATTAGGAACAACTAGGATTAGCATAGCTTGGCGTAACACATGATGATCTCTTTTGTGTTATAATAGGATGTTGACTAAATGGTGAATCTTGTAATTGAATGTGACTTAAAATGGAGTATTCATGTATTGACTCCTGTATCTTAATAACGGATTTTGAATAGTAATGACCAAGACCTTCCTTCTTGTAGTGACTTGATATTTTTTGAAATAGAATTGTGTACTTGAATCAATGAATGTCCCCTTTTTTCCTTTGAACTTTGAATTTCTAAATCTCTATTCTTCGATCCTTGCAACCTTGTATCCCATGTAGATAAAAGTCAAAGTTTTTGAACAAAGACTTTAAATCTTGAAATAATGCCGTGATGATTAAAATGACACTCCATTCCTTTTGGCCTGAATTTTTCCCGTGTTCCTTAATATTGGGATACTCTGATGATACACCAAATAACCTCCAACCACTTCTTTGCATCAAATCTATTACACACGACTTGCGGCCCAAAAAACTCTAACCAATGACTTGTATCCTCAAGCTATGAGCAACCCCTTAAGGTGAAGTGACTCCAAGTGAAACCCTTAATGAAAATGACTCACCAAATGAAGGCCCTTGATCTTCTCAAGGAATAAGGAAATAAATTCTATTTGCAAGCGCAAAGATGATGCGTCTCACTTCATGTTCCACAAGAGAAACTTCATGTACCATGCAAAACCATTGAATTTAGTCCAGTTGAATGACTTGTATTACAATCAAACAATGAAAACAAATACTTCACATCATGAATAAATCCAAGTACTTGAATTGAAGTCCTTGATGAAATCTTAGGCGCTTGATGCTCTTGAAGAATCTAGATGACGGTTGGCACCTTGTAGCTTGATGAAAGAAGTCCACAATGATCATAAACATAAAACCCTAGATCCAAACCATAATTGTTGAATAAACCAGTTGAATAAACCTTTAGAGTGAATATGATAGCTTTGGCATCAAGGAGGTCATGAACACTGTATTTCAATGCCCTATAATTCTCAATTGTATGGGCAGTGGCCCCTGAATGGAATTCACAATGAGCATCGACATCATAATCCCGAGGGAGAGGATTTGGAGGAGAACAAAGCTCTCTCAGCTGGAATAACTGGCCTCTTAGAAAATGGGGGAGGAGTTGAGCATAAGACATAGGTATATGATTCATCTTTCTTTCAGGACCTTTCTTCTTCTTCTATCCTCATTGCCCCTGGAGTTGTTGATTCAGCTGAAGAAGTGCATACTGTGTTTGTTAAACATACGACCATCTCTATATGTACTGCTGTTGATGAGGGCTTGGCTGATGCCTGGCCACCATAGGTTGTTAAGCTGAAATTGTAGCATATGCTCGAGGAACATACCGATTAGGACGAACAACTGATGCCTGACGGTATGAAGCTTGATCTTGATGATAGGTCGGGGCCTTCCCTTTATCAATATTAGTACTAGTCTCTCCTTCTTTCTTCTTGAGAAGGCCAAAGCAATATTTCTTGTTACTTCCACTGATAGCCTTAGATGCACCCTGAATTTTTCCTGACTTGAGTCCATCTTTAATACGTTCCCTAATGTTAACCAAGTCGAAAAAGGAAGTTTAAGTACTACCAAGCATGTGTTGGATATATGGGTTTTTCAAGGTGCCCATGAATAAATCAGTCAATTCACGATCCAAGAGAGGAGGTTCAACCCTTGCAGCTTATCCACGCCACCTCTGGGCGTATTCTTTGAAGGACTCTTCAAATTTCTTTGCCATACCCTGAAGTTATATATGACTAGGATCCATAATAGTGTCGGGGTGGTAATGTTTCAAGAAAGCATCAATAAGCTCTCCCTAATTATTGACATGAGTTCTCTCTAAGTGCATATACCATTCTAACGGTGCCCCAGTCAGGATGTCTTAAAAGAAGTACATGTTCAATGGTTCATTATTAGCATGAGCTCCCATCTTGCTATAGTAGTGACAAAGATAAGCTTCTGGAAAACTATCACCTTTGTACTTGTCAAAATCGGGGATCTTGAACTCTGAAGGGATAACAATCTAAGGTACTAGGCGTATGGTAGTGTCATTGCAAGTAGAAGTCATAGAAGTTTCCATGGCATCAATACGTTCCTTAATAACATGATGCATTTTAGTAGTTTCGGCAGGATCAACACTGAGATCACCTGATGGTCCATTAAGATCAATGATGTTGTCATAGTTGTCAACTACCTTCTTCTGAAACACCGGATTATCAGGAGTGATCCCAACAGTAGCAGCTTTGGGAATCCCATTAGGAGGATTAGGAAACCCATTATAGGTGGAAGAGAAAGCCTCTACAATCTTGGAAACACTCTGGAGAAGCTCTTTTTGACCTTTAAAAACAGCATGAAGAGTCTCTAAAAGTTGATCCATCTTGTCACTCATAACGTCCATGTCCCTATGGAGAGCATTCTGATTCTGTTCAAAGAGATCCACAAGTCTTTATTGATTGGTGCGAGTGCGATACATATGTAGAGAAGTCATTGTTGTTGATTCTGAACTCTGAATGAAAAGAAGGGACCCAATAAGCTTATGATTCGAACAATGAAATGCATGATATTATGAGTGCATGTGTCATCCTTCATTTCCAAAGAACTCAAATAATAGTCAACCCATAAATATCCTTTTTGTGGTATTTCTCTTAGAAAGCTTAATTGTAGGAGACTTGTCTTTGGAATTCCATAGAAATGGGATGTATATACATAATGGTTAATGATGTTATGGTACGAAATAGTCATGGAATCAAGGCTCCATAGATTTAGGATAACCATTGTACTATTTCTGAACACGCCACATATCTTAGGATCAAGGGTCCAAAACATAACCCGAAAGAACCTCATGTACATTAGATCAGAAACTCAGAAAATAAATCTGAGAACCTCATAGTCACCAACAGATCAAAATGATTACTATTCGAACAATTAGTCACTGTGATACGGTGGCAGAACCGACATTTAATACCGGTTTACATTTTTTGTTTGCAAATGTCGCGCTAAGCAAGAGTCGCCACTGGCTTTTCTTTTATCCAACAAATGAAAGGGTGAAAAGAACAGAAAAAGACCTTTTTCGAGATTTTCGGAGTAAGGGGGGTAGATTATGGAAAGGGAAGGTGTTAGCACCCTTTCCATCTGTGGTTTTCCACGGGCTCTTAGGTACTTGCTCATTTTTTGAAAACTATTTGTGTTTGTGTGTTTTGAAAGATTTTTGTTTGCTTTATGGTAACTCTTGTATCAGTCCTCAAGAGTGTGATAAAGCGTTTTTGAAAAGTGTGTAAGTGTGAAAAATTCATATTTGAGCAAGTACTTAAGAACAGTCTACCTACTCAAAAAAGGATGTTGTTTTCCTCCTTTCCTTTAGAAATGCTATCCTAATATTAGTGAGTAGGTAGCCCTATCGTCGGATGTTGAGGGACAATCGAAGGGACGTTTTACAATCACGAAGGCAACTTGTGGAGATGCTTTAGAAATTTTCTTTTAGGGACTAGATCATTTACCGAAAGGCAACTGTAGGGTCATCGAGGGACTATGATCTTTTTTGATTTATGGGTCTTTACTAAAGTGTTCCTGCCTCATGACTGTTTTATTTAAAGGCAACCAAAGCGGGGATACCCTAGAGGTGCATGTGTTAAATTCAGTTATTTATCTTGCATTATTAAGTTTGCTAAAGTTTTAATTTTCAGTCTTATCATGCACGCCTAGTTACTAATAATTGATATTTACAGAAATTTAAAGTGCGAAAATTTAAATCCTAGAATATTACAACACTTTGGGACAAATACATAAAAAATGTAAGAAAATAAAATGCAGAATTTTAAATCTAGACTATTACATTCCATAATCAGTTACATTATTTATATAAAATGCGAGAATAAAAATAACGCGCGCGAAATAAATATTACGTCTAAAAATCCTAAGAAAAATTCTAAGTAAACAAGAAAAATCTTTTTGGTTTTATTTTTATTTATTTCAAGAAAAATAATCAAACTAAATCTAAATTTAATTTAAGAAAATAACTAAATTAATTATTCTAAATTCTATTTATAAAATTAACTTAATAAAAATAAACTAAACTCTTTTTGTGTTTTTTATATTTATGAAAAGAAATATTAAATCTAAATTAAGTCCTAAATTCTAGTTCATTTTAAATTAAGAAAATAGTTAAAATTTAATTAATTAATTAATTAATTAAAGCAATTAATTATTTTAATTAAAAAAAGTCTAAGCCTAATTTTTTGTGAGTTTTTTTTTTATTTGCTTAATTAAGTAAAGAAGATAAAAGAAATTAAAACATTACAAAAAAAACTAGATGGGCCTGAGATAGTAGGAAAAAAAAGTGGGGGATGTGATTGCTGAATTTGCTGGCCCATGAAGGGAGAGGCCCATATTTTCTTCTGGATCCAATGTGGATTGGTCTTGATGGTATATGGTGAGCCCGCAGATGAAGTGCGCTAGATCTGATCAGATGGACATCTGATGGCAATTGTCTGATGGTGTATAATGCACATCAAGCTACAAGAAGCACCAGATCTACATGAAACAAGTTAGAAAATATAAAAATGGAGCTTAATGAGGTGTTTTGTGATGTTTCATGGCTTGGTAATGATTGCAAAATCTTCAGGGAGCCTCCAGGAAAGTATTTGGATATTTTTGTTTGGACTGAGGATGGCTGAAATCTAAAATGCGAATTTTACAACTTTGATATTTTTTGCAAAATTTGTAGAGCTTTTCCAGGCTATATATCATGTGTCTTGAAGCTTTCTAATGTGTCCTTTATATAGATAGGAGGGAGGAGACCAGAGAACAAAGGTAATAACAACCATAAACATGTGATTTTAAAACCATGAATGATGTTTTATAACTTTGCCAAAGACACGGAATCTTGTCCTTTTTGAATTTGAATGAATTTGTACATTGCTTGCATAAAATTTTATGGGCCTAGGCTGTCCAAAACATCAATCCAAAGCTCAAAGCCCATTTCCAATATTTTATACATTTTATTTTATATTTATTTG